ACTCCAACCAAATACCTAGCAGGATTGAATTAGTGGGTTTCAAGGATTAGAACCATATTCTTATAGAACATCTCAGTAGCTTGGCAAAATACAGTTCATATGGTAGTCTGATTGACTACTACAAGAACAAGCAGTTGTTCACCTGGGAGCCATCAAGGCAAGTGGTCATGTCCCTTCAGGGCAAACCCACATCCACGACTCAGACTCAAGGGGAATACACGAGCAGGCATGTGGTCTTGCTGGTGACCAAATTAGTCTACCGATAAGATGTAGTGGGGGAAAAATAGCAATGAAGCTGTTAGCTAAGTCTGGCCATGTTCAATAGACTCCTGTCAACCTGAATTGAGACCTGGCTGGCCAGCAGTATGGCAAGACCTGGGGACTCCTGGGCCAAGAGACATGGACACAGCCAGAGAAGACTAGAGTAGAGAGTGAAACATCCGGCTGATATGAAGTGAGGGTAGATGGACAAGAACACCCAAACTTGCAGATAGTACCCATCTGACCTGGCTTTAATGGTTGGATGATCAGAGCTTGACTAGAAGAAGAAAGAAGAGGGAAAGAGGGAAAAAAAGAGTAATCCACTACAATTTGATGAACTTGACCTGTACTTATGGATGTAGTAGCTTAAAATAGGGAACGAATCTTTACAGCGAGGGTCATTCCCACCCCCTTGATACACAGGATTGACAGGAATGGGCAACTTAGACATTTGCTACCCAACAAGGGCCAGGGGTGGGGGGGCGGGAGATAGGTAATGGTTTACAAAGGCAAGAAGTGACTGGCTTACAAGTGTTCAAAAGGGAGCCTAGTTCCAGAGGGTATGGGGAAAGGTAGAATCTCTACTGAGAAGTTTCCAACCTGTCTAGACAGGGCTGGTAAAAGGAGATGGGGATAAGACTCTTGTGGTTCAATAGTGAACAATTGCTATCAGGACTGACTGTCAATGTTGGACTTGTAAAGGTAGATGTTTTGTGACAAAAGGAGGGGAATGATTGATTTGCAGTCCAGGAGCAGAGGTCGTTGGGACCATCAAGGGAGAAGAGCGGACTGCAGGGCCCTATCCAGAGAAGAAGCGACACCAGAGATGGAGGCAGAGACGATGACGTGGAGAGATGGAGCGGCTGGAAACTGTGGACTCACGGAGGGAGAGGGGCTGTGTGCTGATGGCCAGGGGGCAGGCCTGCGGTGTGTACCCTTTGGTTGTTTGATGATGCATGGAGGGGACTGTAATCATCATAATGAAACGAAACACAATAGGATGAATGTAAAGCTAATGTTCTCCCATTAATTAAATAAACTATCACTTAATTCACATTAAAAATTAAAAAAAAAAATACAGTTCACTAACTTATGTTTTATTGCCTAGTTTGGTGAGTAGTGTGTGGGGTATTAAAATCTTGCAAGTGGCCATCTAAGATATAACTATTAGTTTATACTTGTCTGGAGAAAAAGAAAAAAAAAAGAAGCCAAAGTCTCAAAGGCAGAAAACTAGTCTGTAAGACAAATAAACTCATCTACTAAGCATAGTGGTTACGAATCGGGCTGCGAACCTTAAGGTCAGCGGTTTGAAACTACCAGCCGCTCCACGGGAGAAAGATGAGGCTTTCTACTCCCGTAAAGATTTACACCCTCGGAAACCCTGTACAGGGTCGCTATGGGTCGGACCCGACTCGATGGCACTTAACAACAACAACAACAACTCTAAGACCAGAAGAATGAGATGGTACCTGGCTACCACTACTGAGTCTTCTAATAGGGGCCACAATAAATGAACCTTGGCAGAACGGAGGAAATTGGAATTAAAACTCAAATTCCTAAAAAGCAACAACCAGACATACTGGGCTGGTTGAGACTGGAGGACTCCTGTAGCCTGATGTTCTGAGATACTTCTCAACCCCAGAACCAAAAGTAACCTCTGAGGTCACCTTGTAGTTAAATAACAGACAGGCTCAAAATATGATTGTCACCTGTAAGTACTGTGCTCCTTTAATATGAGATGAACAGTCAATATTTTAAAACAAAGATAAGGATGTAAGGGAAAGTGAAACTAAATTAATGAGAAATGAATAACCAGAACAGAAATCATGGGAATATTCACACACTGTGAAGAATATAACCAATGTCATTGGACAATTTATGTAGAAATTGTTGAATGGAATCCTAACTGCTGTGGAAACCTTTACCCAAAACGTGTTATTAAATATACGAGGGAGCTGGCTTCACAAAGTTCATGGAAAAATGGAAAGAAAGGAAAGCGGAATTCTTCAGTGAACTTTTTGACGCCTCATTTAAGGGCAGTCTCTACATAATGAATAAGATTCATTCCTAACTGTGTCTTAGGTCAGTCAAAACAAGTAACTACAGTTCTTATTTAGCCTTACTTTATGCAAGAAAGGTGTCCTGCTCAGGACTATAGACTCAGGGGCACAATGGTCAATTGCCATAACAAAGTTCTACATCCTACTTTGGTGAGTAAGTAGCATCTGGGATTGGTCTTGCTAAGAAAGAAGAGTGATGAGAATTTAAGAGGCTTGGAACAAAACAGTCCAATGGACTAATGGAACATGTTAACATCACTCTCCAAGATTCTTGAGACCAGAACTAGATGATGCCTGGCTACCACTACCAATGCTCTGAAAGGGATCACATTAGAAGGTCCTGAACAGAATGGCAAAATGTGTGGAACAAAACTAAACATTTAAAAAAAAAAAAAAAGATTGAGTATATTGATTAGAAAGAGACTGGAGGAACCTGAGACTATATAACTTTCAGGTCCGGAAAGGAGCTCACCCTCGTGGCCCAACTTTCAGCCAAGCAGTAAATAGGTATACAAAGGAGGAAACAACACTGGTAAGGTATGCTTACTATGAATGTTGGAATGGTCAATTGTTAAAAATCAAAACGGCAACATTGACCTAAGGACAAAGTTGAGAAGGGATAGGAAGGTCGGTGGAATGGGAATAGGAACCACAGGGAGGGAGGGGATTGCAATCATTAAGATGAAACCAAGTAAATGATTTGTTGAATGTAAAACTGAAGATCTTGCCTGTAAACCTTCACTCAATTCACAACAAAAAAGTAAAAATAAAAATAAAGAAAAGAAAGGTGCCCTGGTGGCACTCTAGGATAGCACTGGACTGCTAATCACAAGTTTGTTAATTCAAACCCACCATAAGCTCTGCAAGAGAAAAGATGAGGTTTTCTTTTACCATAGGATTTACAGTGGTGCTACAAGTCAGAATTGACTCGATGGCAGTGGGTTTGGTTTTTGGGTTAGTGTAAGAAAGGAGTCTTGGTGGTGCAGTGGGTCAAACACTGAATCACTAACTACAAGATCAGTGGTTCAAACCCACTAGCTGCTCTTTGAGAGAAAAATAAGGCTGTCTGCTCTTGTAAATATTTAGTCTCAGATAACCCTATAAAGCAGTTCTACTCTGCCCTATAGGGTTGCTATAAGTCAGAATTGACTTGACGGCAGTGGGTTTGGTTTGTTTTTATATTTTTACTGCAAGAAAAAGTTTTTAAACCTTTGCAATGACTTAAAAACTGCACATGCAGTAAATGATGGTGATTGAGATGAAGAATTTGTTGCAAGTATATATTGGTTCAATTGTTTCAAAGTGAAAGCAATTTTATATAAAAATTAGGGCTTCAAAGACCAAATGCCCTAGTCAAAGATGCACTTCAAATGCGTGTGACTCTCCAAAGGCCTGCCAATAACCCAGTCTCACCCACAGGCTCCAGAAAGAGCTCAATATACCTCTTCCCAATCTCCCATTCCAGAACTTCAATTTATGAGTTTTCCTCTTCTGGTTGCTGTAACACATCACCCAAATTGTAAAACTTCTAGTCTGTTTTTGTTTTGTTTCATCACCCATGGCAGAAGTCCAAAGCCCTGTGCAAGTAAGGAGCTCTGGTAGCGTAGTGGTTACAAATCGGGCTATGAACTGCAAGGTCAGCAGTTTGAAACTACCAGCTGTTCCACGGGAGAAAGATGAGGCTTTCTGCTCCCACAAAGATTTACAACCTCGGAAACCCTGTACAGGGTCGCTATGAGTCGGAACCGACTCCACGGCACACTACAACAACAACAACAAGGAGCTCTGGTAGCACAGTGGTCACAAATTGGGCTGCGAACCTCAAGGTCAGCAGTTTGAAACTACCAGCTGTTCTGCAGGAGAAAGATGAGGCTTTCTGCTCTCACTCCCATAAAGATTTACAGTCTCAGAAACTGGGTACAGTGTCACTATGAGTTGGAACTGACTCCACGGCACATAACCACCACCACTAGGAATTGAATATTCAACATTTATAACTTGGGGACTGACTATAAAGGATTATAGTAGAATTAGGAAAGCATGTTTCAGGTTGAGCCAGCTGTGACATAAGTGAACCAGATGAGAAGGGAATACAAGAAGATGAGCACAACCTTTGTCGAAATGATATCTGCATATATTACATCACTTCCCCTCATATGGTTACCTAGGTTTTGGCCAGCTCAGGCTAAAGGGGAAGCCTGTAAGGAAGCAGTGTATTTATACTATTTAAGTGTACATGCTCTAAAATCCATTTAAATAAGTCAAATCTTGATAGCAGTAAGAAAATCTGCAGAGTTTTACATTGTCCCAGCCAAGCATCCACATGAGTGTCAGCTCTATTACCCATGCCAACAACTCCTACGTTTAGTAAAAACGATGTCAAGTACTATTCAAATCTCAATCTTCTAATGTTTACTTAAATGAAAAAATAAAGATACAACACTGCATATGATCATAAATATGCAAAAGAAGTATAAGAAAAAAACGTAGGAGATAACCAAATGCAAATTTCAAACATGATCATATCTGGGTGACACCTTTCCATATTTTCCAAATAGTGTAAAATAAGCATGTTTTCCTTCCATAAATGGAAAAAATAAAATAAACTTCATTTAAAAGAAAAATAAATCCCTATTTTTTTAAAATATAAGCCATTTCAACCTGGCTTTGAGAGCTTACCTGATCAGCATCGACAAACAGAAATTTGTCAACAACAAGAGGGAAAAGGACATCCAGGAAGAGGATCTTGTAACCCCATATAATGCGCTGTTTCTCAGTTTGCTGATGAAGCCATCGGGGCCACTTGTACTGAACAAGTTCATACTGGAAATTGTATTCGTTTGCCATGTAAGGTATAAATTCCTATTTGCAGACACAGGAAACAATAAACAATCAATTTATTTTTTAAGAAAACTAACCTCATAATGTAAGTCAGACACTAGAACACACAAGTAAAACACATTCATCAAAATAAATAATTTGCTTCTGACTCACTTGTGACTATATAAAAGAATACACATAAACTTTTTGTCTTAATTATAATTTCTTTATGACTGTCAACAAAAGAAATGACAAGTGATGGCTTTTAAGTAACTAATGTACATCTGTGTGTGTGTGTATGTGTTTATCTTAAAGGCACATGAATTTTAAGCCCATTTGCTTAAACTAGATTTAAAAAAAACTTGATTACAACCCACCCTCGAAGCTGTCTGCCCCAGGGAATAATATAGCAAAACTTAAATATGAACAGTCCCTAGTAAAGTCTGTTATATTAAAAATTTGAGGCATGTTCAATGGTCTGTAATAACCAACAAGTGCTAATTTGCGGTATACATCAAAATATTATCATTATTACTGTATTATGTTAAAGATGTCTTAGTGTATCTGGAAGTGGTTTTGTGACCTTTTTATGCATATAAGGGTATGCTCTATACTATTTGAATACTAAGACAAGTACTTGACATATGTTAGATACAAAATGCACCCACCTGTTACAATTTATGTACAAATTTGACTTAAAAACAGTTTTAGGAATATAATTCCTTCATAATCAGCTGACTGTCTGTACTTTGGATAATTATTCTGTCATCTTTAAAGAACAAATCCAGTAGATTCTAAGTGTGTGTGCAGTTGGCTTTCTGTATCCATTAGTTTTGCATCTGTGACTTCAACCAACCACAGATAGAAAAAAAAAAAAAACGTTTGGAAACAACAACAACAAAGCAATAAAGTACTATTTATCTACATGGTGTTAGGTATTATATGCAATCTAGAGATGATTTAAAGTATGAAGAGGATGGGATAAGGTTATATTTTTGTGAAAATACCATACCATTTTATATTTGCATAAGAGAATTGCAAATCTATGGATTTTGCTATTTGTGGTGGTTCCTGAAACCAATCATCTACAGAAACACAGGGACAACTAACTGGACTTTCAGGGGTCCAGAAGTGAGTTAATTATCAAGTAGATATTGAATACATTAAAAGTCACCTAATAAATTCTATGTAAAAAAAGAAGAAAAGAGAAAGTAGCTAAGATGATATCCTAAGCACATGCACTATGCTATCCCTCTACAACAAATACCTGAGAAATCAAGTGAAACAGACACAAAATATAATTCTGAAACCCTGAGCATCAAATGAAAGGACAGAGAATTAAACATTGATTGAAAGAAGAAAACTGAACAAAAGCAGTGAATAATGACAGATACAGAACTATAAGGTACCCTGCCAGTTGGTCCAGGACAGTGTTTCCCTTGTGGCACAAGATAATCAGAGTTCCCAAACGAGGAACACAGGAAGGTGGCTTCATGGAACTTCAAGAAAGAGATACAACATCGAGAAAAATCTAGATCGAAGCAAGATTAGATCAAGACGTAGTTATAGGGAGAAAAAAACAGGAAAGCGGCACAGAACTTCAAGACTCATGTGACCAATAGAATAGGGAATGAGCTGTTTACTACAGAGATAGAAGCATTCACCAACACTGGTCATCTGGATTACAGACTGAAGATACTGGACTCTGGGCATCCCTCAGCCTTGGACTGAATTGGGATAAGAATAACTTATCAGCTGCACTTGCCCAGGAATGCATTGGCATCCATGTTGGTGATCAACTACCAGGAATCCTCTCTTCTACCCCAAACCCTCCCAGTGGACCGGAGGTGAGGGTTCTGTTACCATTCCCCACCCGGTAGATGGAAAAGCTCCTCCTGCCACCATTCCATTTCCTGCCATCTTCTCTTATGTCCACAGCGGCCTTGGGCACATGCCCTTGTGGGCACAGTTGGGGCATGTACAATCACAGACTGAGTGCCAAGTATCCATTACTTCCATGGTTGGTGGTGTGTACTCATGCCTGCTGCTGCACCAATTTCCTGGCAACAGGAAACACACACTCAAGCAAACGACAACCAAAAAAGAGCAGGAGTGGCAATATTAATTTTTCATAAAGCAGACTTTAAGGCAAAAACCAGCATAAGAGAAAAGAAATGATTAAAGAGTTGAATAAGAAGACACAAAGGAGCTCTGGTAGCATAGTGGTTACGAATCGAGCTGCTTATCTCACAGTCAGTAGTTCAAAACTACCAATTGTTCCGTGGGATGGGGCTGATGAAAAGAGATGGGGATAAGACTCTTGTGGTACAATGGTGAGTGATTGCTATCAGGACTGACTGTGAGGGTTGAAAATGTAAAGGTAGACATTTTGTAGCAAGAGGAAGGGAGTAGCTGACTTTGCAATCTGGAAGTCCTGAGGTCCTTGGAACCATCAAGGAAGAGGAGTGAAGTGCGGGACCCTACCCAGAGAAGCAGTGACGTCAGAGATGGAGGCAGAGATGATAACTAGGACAGATGGAGCAGCTGGGGACTCTGGACTCAGGCAGTGAGAGGGGCTGTGTGCTGGTGGCCAGGAGGCAGGCTTGCAGGGTGTACCCTTTGGTTGTTTGGTGATGCATGGCGGAGATTGTAAATCATTGCAATGAAACAAAATACAATAGGATGAATGTAAAGTTAATGTTCTCCCATGTAAACTATCACTCAATTCACAATAAAATAAATAAATAAATAAATTTTTTTTTTTTAAAAAGCTTGGGTGGTGTCATATAGTGGCTTCTCCCTAACCAAAGCAAAGCAACGTGAAGAAAATCAAAGACTCAAAGAAACAATTAACCGAAACGACTAATGGAGCACACAATTCACAGCATTTTGAAGTTCTTATATCAAGGGAAAGACTGACACCAAGATACAAAGGAACACTGAGCCTAAAGATGCTGAAAGAAGCCCTTTTTCCAGAGTCAGCTCTGAGTTTTGACCTCTAGCCTCCCAAACTGTAAGAGAATCAATTTGTTAAAGCCATCCACCTGTGGTATTTCTGGTACAGCAGTATTAGATAACTAAAATAATCCTCTTTACACCAAACAATATACAGACCTATAATGTGAACAAAAATTACAAAGGAATGTACTGCTGAAAATAATCAACATTAGGAGATCAAAAGGTCAGCATTTGCCAAGAGCCAAAAGTTCTGAATGCAAGAAAGAGCAGGAAAGGATAAACAAAAATGAGAACATAGGGAGAAACTAAAAAGTGCTGTTACACTGAGGAGATTGCAATTAATATGAAACAAAATGTATATAAGTTGTTAAATGGTAAGCAAATTTGCTTTGTAAAATTTTGAACCTGTATAGCATTTCTAAGGAGCCAACTGATGAACTTGAACCACCAAGCCTGTGGTTCAAAGTGAATTCACAGTCCAGTGCATTAACCCACAGTGCCATACCAGGACTCCAGATAATAAATAGTGACTGACATAAATAAAACAGGAAATGTTCCAAGTGCATTGTTGTGCACAAAGGAAGCATTGTTTACACACATTATCTGATAACTGTTCATGATCAAACTGATCAGTCTCACAAATGGAAACCAACACTAGGCTTTCCAAATTAACCAAGACGTGCATGCTTTAGAGGGAGGGAACATTATTTCAACTAAACACTGCTTCTGTTAAGCAAAAGTACAGAATTCTTCATGTTTCAATGAGATGAAAATCTGTGTTTGGTTCATAACTTAAAATCAACCAGCCAGAGAGAATAATCAACATATAAATATGCAACTGAATTAAGGTATCCAAAGGAAAAAAAAAATTAAAAACAGATACAGATAAAACAAAAGTAGTAAGACGTACCGGAAGTACCTTCTTAATAAGAATGCTTTCCTTTCCCCCAAGGAACATACCTTAAATGTCGGGGACAAATAATTCTTTAAGAACCAGAATTTCACAGGGGTCTTGGTATTCTTCAGTACCGATAGCATCATTATACTGTCAAATAAAGGCAAATAATGATAATCTCCCAATACTTTTTAACCTCAACACCATCAAGTAATCAGTCAAGCAGCCACTAAATGTTCTTCCCAGCAAAGCTAACTGATGGCTCAATTAGGTAGAGAGAGACCTACAGTCATAGAAAATTGTACCTATTCATACTTATAAAGCTATTTCACTTGGGGTATGAGGAAGTGTTTCTAACTCATAAAAACAAATTTGTTGTAACTATGTTGCTATCACTTAACAACAACATGTTGCTGTTAAGTGCCTTTGAGTTGGTTCTTACTCACAGGACCCTGTACAGTTTCCAAGGAACAGCTGTTGGGTTTGAACTGCTGAATTTGAAGTTAGCAGCCCAGTGCTTATCCTCCAGTGCCACACCAGGGCCCCAAGTACTATGCCTTGTGTGAGGTAATTATGCTACAACTTAAAAAAACAATGTTTTATGTGCTAGTATTTTAGCTGTGGTGCAATTGAATAAAGGGGTATATGGTAGGTGACTATATCAATCTCTGTAAAAGAGCTGATAAAGCCACAGTGGCATCTGGTGCTGTAGAAATCACATTGCCTGCATGCCTTCCACAGTACACAATGGAGAATTCTACAGCGAGGAGAGCAGAGAGAGGTTACTCAAAAAGAAATGGTTATAGATTCAAGATAGAAATAAAACAATTTTGACTTAAGTATCTTAATTCAGTTGTTATCAACATTCAATGACTATTATTTTAGGTCAGATATTATATCTTGTAAAGCACCACACCAGGATTCCTGGTGTGGCACTGTAGGATCAACACTGGACTGCAAACCACAAGGCCAGCAGGTCAAACCTATCAGTTGCTCCTTGGAAACCCTATACAGGGTCACTACGAATTGGAACCGGCTCGATGGCACTTAACAACAACATTATTTCTTGGAGAAAGGTGGGTCAAAAATGAGTGAAAATGACATTTTGATTATGTGCTATACAATATTTATAGTGAAAAGTAACAAATCAAAAGAACTCTGGGAGTTAGGAAAGTGACTCTCACTGAACCATTCTGATGATCACTAATGGCAAAGGTACTCCTGAGTGCCACCACTGTGTCAAACAGGCACTTTTGTCACTGTGGCTTCTTCTAGTTCTGGTATATGACCCCATACAAGTCCCTCACTCTTTGAGCCACTGTGGTTTTCTTATCTATAAAATAGAGGACAGTTCTAAATTTCCATGGAAGATAGTAAAGCGCTGCATGGCCCAGTTCTGTGTCTATTTTATGCCAACCTTCTAATTTTGGTTTCAAGCAATGCTTCATGGCACTAAGTGTGCACATTGATATTAAAGGTTTAGAGGTCTGTACTATCCAGACACATTTACTACCCAGGTCAACTTCAGATAGCTGATCTGTTAAACACATTACATGTGGTAGTCATATCACAATTCCCAGAGTATTTCAAATGCATGGAATTATAATGGGTTGAATCCCACAAAACTTTCTAAATGAGACTACTGTGACAAATTCATTCTCATATACTGTAAACTGAAATAATCAACAAGACTAACCGAAGAAATCTTTCATACAGATGACCAGATGCAACAGAGAAAATATTAATTACATCATCTTTATCTTGTTTCATTTCCTCAGTCTTTTGTCCTCCTGAAAAACCCCTGTAAAAATAAAGGCAAAAAATAGAACACTTGAAATATTAGTTCAGGTATTCAGCCCTTGAAGATAGAGGCAGAGGTACTGATTTCCTACTCACACTCCTTCCTAAAGGGAGGAGGCATCCTCTCACATTCTGGAAGTGAGTAAAAAGAGCAACAGAAAACCATCCACGGGAGAATAAGCAGGATAACACGGCACAGTTTTGTTTTAGGAAGAGATATTTAGCATCAGCTGTCCTGTAGAATGCAGTTTTTACAACAGGAAATAAATTGAGTGATTATCAATATTAATCAACACTCCAAAGAGCAGGTAAAACCCAACCGAGTCAAGAACTATGGAAGAACAGTAGCTGCACCATGAATAGAAAGAATTTAGTACTCTAAATATAAATGTAAGACTTGACTGGCACAAAGCAGAATCTGAAAGACCCAGAGAAGAACTACTATACTGCATAGATAAAGTCTTTGTTTTTCCTGAAAAACACATTTTATGATGCTGACTTACCATTTAAAGGAGTCCCAAAATCCAGATTCATTCTCATTAGTTCCATCACTCAATAAGTCTTCATTCACCATATCTGCCTTCTTCTGTACCTGCAATGGTATGTGATGAATCTTATTATGCCTAAGAGACATAAAACTGATTTATAGTGGATTTGCATTGTGAATACTGTCAGCAACAAGGAATAAAGTAATTATCAATTACTTCTCTGATGAGCAGGTACAACCCAACGAAGAGTCTAGCTGTACTCAATAAAAGTAGCTTCACAATGTTGCTCCCATTAGAACCTTAAGTGAGGAGATAGCAGCCTCTTTTAATTAAGAAAAAATTATTTTCAGAATTCAAAATCATTTTGTATGTAATATGGTCTGAGTAAACTACAACTATGTAGGTAATGAGTGAAAACAGAAGCACAATTTACTGAGCTAACAGCTGTTCTAGATAAAGAGTACAGTCTTCGTGAGTTCAATTACCAGGCAGGAGCCATGTCACGTTGCCTCTTTTTATCAGGATGTATTAGTAAAAAGATGAGTTGAATCTTCTCTACAACATAGGTACCATTCTTATGTTGTGAGGTCTGCTTTACATTTTACAGTTATAAAATGGTGGCTTATTTTATAATATGTCTTATTCAAATTTAAAGCTCTAATAACTTTAAAATTTGAAGAATTAAGACTAGGAGCAAGAAGAGAAAAAACAGACTACCATTTTATAACTGTTAAGAGTTTTCATTTGTATTTTTCCAGTTTACTGAGAATAAAATAATCAATAATTATCTGAGTTTTACTCAAAAGGTAAAATCTCTCAGTTGAATAAAGTAAAAAATTAATATTTACAAAAGATCTTTTGTATTTAAAGCAGCACTTCTATAAATGCAATAGTAAAATTCCAAAGTAAAACTGAAATCCTGGGATGGTTTCAAGATATGTATTTTTACATAATAGTAACCGAATGCCAGTACAGTGCTACTTTTAGCAACTTATTAAAGATTGGCAGCCTTGGCATACCAAACTCACCTTCATTTTAATAATTTTGCTCTTGAAGTTGTTGAGGACGACAACAACTTCATCGGCATCAGGAGGAGAATCTGTACCATCATGGCTTAGAGAGAAAAGAATTACAAAAAATAATGAAGATGTTATAAAATATAACCTCAAAATACAGTAAATGGTCTGACAATAACTCCCTACATTTGCCCATCACACCTTTATCATACAGAGGTTTTCAGAACAAATTATTTTCTCTCAATCAAGGAAGTTCCTTCAAGTTGCACAGAAACATTTGTTGAATCTCTATCCTTACACAGTTATGTGCCCAAACTCATACTCCAAACTTCCCCATGAGTCTTCTGTCAAATTAGATTTTGTAGAGAGGGAGGCTCCTAGGTCACTGCAGGGCCAAATGCAGTTTGAAAATTATTTACATTCATCAGTCCAACACCTTGCCTAGTACCACTTTGAGTAAAAGAGGGCCAGAAGGGGGTGAACCACTCTAAAACACTCATGGAAATGCATCATCACTTTTGACTCTTTAGTTGGCCAGCATCAAAACTTGACTCTAATATTTTGTTAAAAGAAACTCTTCTACCATTCTGTTTGTTGTTGTTATTGTTATGTGCCGTGGAGTCGGTTCCGACTCATAGTGACCCTGAATAGGGTTTCCAAGGCTGTAAATCTTTACAGGAGCAGAAAGCCTCATCTTTCTCCCATGGAACAGCCGATAGTTTCGAGCTGTTTGAGCTGCTGACCATAGAGATAAGCAGTCCGATTCGTAACCACTATGCTACCAGAGCTCCCGTTTATTGGAACACAAGTAGACAGGTCTGTCTCAATCTGGTACCTGTAGTATATAGGAAAACCTATATTATAATAAGGTCTACTTGCAGGCAGATAGGATGGAGAAGGGAAAAAAAAAAATTCCTACCATGCAATTGTAATACCTCAGATTTCCAAAGCTACCAAATGTCAAGGTGTTGACTAAAGAAAGCCAAATTAATAATATGAATTCTCTGTGTTAGTTAGATGTCATACAGCAGAGAGCAGTGTTCTCAAGCAAAAATAAAATTCTGATGGGGAAAAAACCTGAAGCAGGAAACACTTCAGAAAACGGGAATATTCACATAAGGCAGTGCCCCAGAGATGCAGGCCACCATGCTCCTAAAGGAAGAGTAACTAAGGGAATCAGGGAGGGACAGGGAAAGTGTTTTGTAAAACAACAAACTTCTTATAACAGACTAAATTTTTGTAAACCATACTTTGGGAATATCTGAGAAAAACATTCTACTATTTACAACGAAGATATTATTATAATATAAAATTCTTCTACTTCTTGGTAAGAAATATGCCCTAGTTTCACACAGTTGCATGTTTGTCAGGTAAGACACTATGAAGCTAAGATGAGGATACAAGAGACTTTTAAAAGTAAAATCTAACAAAAATCTTTCCTAAAGTAAAAAAGTCTTTCCCACAGCCTAAAACTAATTTAAACTGAATTAAGAATAATTTAGACTAGGCTTTCTGCTACTCCCCATTCGACAGGCAGCCGCAGCTTCTCTTTCAGTAGCAGCCGCATCCCTGAGACAAGATGGTGAAGGTCGGAGTCAAGGGATTGGCTGGTCACCAGGGCTGCTGTTAACTCTGGCAAAGTAGAGGTTGTTGCCTCAACTACCCCTTCATTGATCTCAACTACATGGTATATATGTTCCAGTATGATTCCACCCATGGCAAGTTCAATGGCACTGTCAAGGCTGAGAACGGGAAACTTATCATCAATGGGAAGCCCATCTCTATCTTCCAGGAGCGAGATCCCGCCAACATCAAGTGGGGTGATGCTGGTGCTGAATATGTTGTAGAGTCCACTGGTGTCTTCACAACCTTGGAAAAGGCTGGGGCTCACTTGAAGGGTGGTGCCAAAAGGGTAATCATCTCTGTCCTTTCTGCTGATGCCCCCATGTTTGTGATGGGCGTGAACCATGAGAAGTATGACAACTCCCTCAAGATTGTCAGCAATGCCTCCTGCACCACCAACTGTTTGGCCCCTCTGGCCAAGGTCATCCATGACAATTTTGGCATCATGGAGGGACTCATGACCATAGTCCATGCCATCATTGCCACTCAGAAGACTGTGGATGGCCCCTCTGGGAAACTGTGCCGTGATGGCCGTGGGGCTGCCCAGAACATCATCCCTGCATCTACTAATGCTGCCAAGGCTGCGGGCAAGGTCATCCCTGAACTGAATGGGAAACTCACTGGCATGGCCTTCCGTGTCCCCACTCCTAATGTGTCTGTTGTGGACCTGACCTGCCACTTGGAGAAAGCTGCCAAATATGATACATCAAGAAGGTGGTGAAGCAGGTATCAGATGGACCCCTAAAAGGCATCCTGGGTTACACTTAAGACCAGGTTATCTCCTGTAACTTTAACAGCGACACCCACTCTTCCACCTTTGATGCTAGGGCTGGCATTGCCCTCAACAACAACTTTGTCAAGCTCATTTCTTGGTATGACAATGAATTCGGCTATAGCAACAGAGTGGTGGATCTTATGGTCCACATGGCCTCCAAAGAATAAGAGCCCCCTGGACCACCTGCCCCAGCAACAGCACTAGAGGAAGAGAGAGGCCCTCAGCTGCTGGGAGTCCTTACCCCAACTCTAATCCCCCTACACACTAAGAAACTCCCATCGTCAGTTTCCATCCAGACGCCCTAGAGAAGGGGAGGGGCTTAGAGAGCCCAATCTTGTCATGTACCATCAATAAAGTACACTATCCAGCCAAACAAACAAAAAAAGAGAATAATTTAGACTAAAAAAGCAGCATTTTTTTTTTCTTTTTACAAAGCAGTATAATTTTTCATAATTAATGACCACTTATCAGTTGGAACTGACTAGCTGGCACTCAACAATAACAGTAAACCTGAAGGAGGCCTGGTGGTGCTTTAGGTGAGGTGCTACACTGTTTACTGCAAGATCAGCGGTTTCAACTCACCAGTTACTTCTCAGGAGAAAGATGAAGCTGCCTACTCCTGTCAAGATTCACAATCTCAGAAATCCTGTATAGAATTTCTATGAATTGGAATGGACTCAGTAGCAGTGGGCAATTTTTTTGGTTGATGGTACACCTTAAGGTAAAAATCTGACCTCTGTAGAATAGAATATTGTTCATCTACTAAGGTACAATATCATAGGCCAAGAAAGACCCGTTCTAACAACAAAAATTTATGTCTAAAGCTTACATGTATTGTGTATTTGTAAATCACACATGATCCAGAAATAATCTAGAGTCAAAATTGGACTATTCATTATTTCTTTTTTCCTTTCTTTAAATCAGGGTTTTGAACCAGTTTGAACTGGATAAGTCACAGTCACCAGCAAATGCAGTGAAATCAAAATAGACCTGAATTTGCAAAAGTTGGTTTATCAGAACCATAACCAGAATTGGAAAAACTATGGGTTCAAGCCCTGGAACAGGAGACTTCAGAGGGGTGTAGCGAGTTCTTTCAGGAGACTGGTATGGGAGACTGAATTACTTATTGCCAGGACAGTAGTGAGCAACACACATTCAAAGCAGAGGGCACTGTTATTTCCACTTCTTTTGATCAAAAAGATTTGTTGCTATGCTGCCCTTGTTTTCTAAGAGGGTAATTAAGTTTCTAGTAGAGTATCTACCCCTAGTTTTCCCAATCTAGTTATCATTGTGGTACATCCAAATTTAACAAATTCAGGTACATTCCAGTTTTGCTTCCTCAGCCATGACAGAATTAGGAAGAACCGATTCGAAAACTTGCTTCAAATGACTCAATTTCTTACCTTCTCTATGGATTCCATCACAGTGACAGATGATGTGAGTCTGGGATACTAAACTGCTCACAGAAAGAAATCACTGTAGAGTGAAACTTGGCTATATTTACTGGTGCTGTAGAATAGACACTGGACTGGAAACCACAAGGTCAGTGGTTTAAACCCACCAACCACTTTTCAGAAACCCTTTACAGGGATCACCATGAGTTGGAACTGATTCAACAACACTTAACAACAACTAGGAACGTTAATAATTCCTAGATCTAATTTTTTAGAAATGCATCGTCTCATCAAATATCCAATTGTAAATTATATTCTTATTGCCGGGTTAACTTGTCAGTGTACATCAATTACAGCTGATGCACATTTCTAAACAATCTGAAGAAATGCATCTACATCATTTAATCCTACCTGTAGATTCTATAAATATCTTCAGAGCGCCCCTTCCTAAGTTTGAGAATCCAAGCTCCTGGGTTGGCTTTTAATTGAAAATAACCCTAGAACAAAAACATCAAAATGTTGTTTCTGAAGGACAGTTACTTCAGTCATTTATATTTAAAATAACATAGTTAAGAAATCAATGTTATTATAAAACAAAACAAAGCCTCCCCATTAGAAATGCTACCAAAATATATGCCAGTGAAACCTAAAAGTCTGCCCTATAGCTGTACTTCAGTGAAGATTCAATTTGTAAATAAGCTGCACTCTTCAAAGAAAACAAAAATGTCACTTTATAAGCAATATTCAGGGGCAAGTTTGGTTAAAGCATGTCTTTTTTTGTTTAGGCTAACATATAACTCTAATCCACACAAAATTAACAAATTTTCTGTTGATCAAAATCAATCATGAATTTTAATCTCATTCTATGGTTCAGAATTCTAATTGCACCATCATAAATTGTACTACCCAAATTAACATGACTGTAACATTAACATGATTTGCTAATTGTTTACCAGATTAGCCATAACAATGGTATCAACAATGACTGGTTTAGCTGAAGTTCCTAGGGTAAACTGCAGTCCTCTTGGGGGTTGACCTGTGGTGATGTCATAGCAATGACCTTCTAGTAACAGGTATTCCAGCTCATACTCCGCAGTCACTATGCTGTCTACCTGTAATATCAAAATTTAATCACCTCAGTAATAAAAAGAAACAAATTACTGATAAATGCAACAGCGTGAATGAATAGTAAATGCATTGTCTATAACTGAAAAAGCCTGATGTGGCACTGCAGGATCAGCATTAGACTGTAAACTACAAGGTCAGCAGTTCAAACTTACCAGCTGCTCCTTGGAAATGCTATACAGGGAACCGACTTGATGTCAACAACAAGGGAAAAATGCCAGACACAAAGGCTTACATTGTTACATTTATAAGAAATTTTAGAAAAGGCAAAACTAAACCACATCATTTATTGCCTGGGACAAAGGATAGGGGTAGAGGAAAACAGGGCAAGATAAATATTTGGGGTGATGGAAATGCTCTGTATCTTGATTCATGTAGTAGTTACTCAATTACTCAATTGGTTCTGGATGCGTAGTGGTTACGAATTGGGCTGAGAACCTCAAGGTCAGCAGTTCAAAACTACCAGCTGTTCCACAGGAGAAAGATGAGGCTTTCTGCTCCTGTAAAGATTTACAGCCTCGGAAAACCCTGTACAGGGTCGCTATGAGTCAGAACCAACTCCATGCACATAACAACAACATACAATTACAAAAACTCAAAAGATCTGAAAATACAAAATTGGCAAATTTTACTGTATATATGTATATGTATATATGTTGTTGTTGTTGTTAAGTGCCATCGAGTCGGTTCTGACCCATAGCGACCCTGTATTTATAAGGGTTTCCAAGGAGCAGCTGGTGAGCTTGAACCACCAACCTTGCAGTTCAAATGGCTTTGCAGTCTGGCTCATTAAACCACAGTGCCACACCAGGAGCTCTGGTAGTATAGTGGTTATGAATCGGGCTGTGAACTGCAAGGTCAGCAGTTTGAAACTACCAGCTGCTCTGTGGGTAAAAGATGAGACTTTCTACTCCCGTTAAGATTTACAGCCTTGGAAATCCTGTTCAGTGTCGCTATGGGTCAGAACCGACTCTACGGCACTTAACAACAACAGCAATAATTCTACCTCTGGCAGTATATATATATATATATTGTTGTTGTTGTTGTTAAGTGCCGTCGAGTCGGGTCCGACCCATAGCGACCCTGTACAGGGTTTCCGAGGGTGTAAATCTTTACGGGAGTAGAAAGCCTCATCTTTCTCCCGCGGAGCGGCTGGTAGTTTCGAACCGCTGACCTTAAGGTTCGCAGCCCGATTCGTAACCACTACGCTACCAGATATAGCTATTGTTAATTGCCGTGAGTTGATTCCAACCCATAGAGACCCTGTATAACGTTCCCAAGGAGCAGCTGGCAGCTGGTGAGCTCGAACCACCAACCTTGCAGTTCAAATGACTTTGCAGTCTAACACATTAGCCCACAGCACCACACCAGGACTCCTATGTGTATATATTAGACCTCAATAAAGCTGATTTTAAAAGATTACACTGAGCAAAAGCAGTCAGATATATGATTCCACTTATATGTACTGTGGAAAAGATAAAGCATTATAGTAACAGAGCAATTCAGTTGATTGTTTGGGGCCTATGGATAGGAACAGGAGACTGGATTGGAACAGGAGACTGGCACAAGATGGGATACAAGAAAACTTATGGGATGAAGGAAATATTATGTATCTTGATTTTGGTGGTACTTACATGGCTATATAAATATGTCAAGACTCAACTAAATTTGCACTTAAAATGACTAATTAAAGATGCAAATTATACCTCAATAAAGTTGATTAAAATTAAGTCACATGAAAATTCCTAAGTTAGTGTATCATTTTATAATACCTGTTACTAAACTAACTCAAGAATGTTGTAAAGCTTATAAACATGGAAGAATGGGGTTTACCAATGAGTTAAGCAACAGACATATCTACTGAAAGAAGCAATATATAAGATGCATCCACTGCCTCTAAGACTTGCAAGTCTTACAAGAATAACATAAAATGTGGGTGACAACTATTTAATACAGGCACAGAAAACAGTATCATTTTTCAATTTAAGTTAAAAAAATAGTATACTGTAATAAGAACCATGTTAAAAATAATACTAATAGCTTCCATTTAACTATTGTATTGCAGATTTTTGTTTACCATAATTACAACACTGCAAAGTAATAACAGAAGAAAAAACTGAGGCTGGGTTGGGATAAGTAGCTTGCCCAAGGTCATAAAGTTGGGAAATGTGGGAATGTCCAGCCTGCAGGCCATATAAGACCCACAAAGTCATTTGGTTTGGCCCTGCCAAGGCAGTTGCAGTTACAGTCATCACAGTAGGGATGAGTTAATTAAATGTTCAACCACATACCGGGAGGAAGCAGGTTCAGGAGACAGTCCTAGAATTCTGAACTACATATAAAGGAATATTTAGAAGGCTTACTGCTAGTGAAATTTGTAGCAGAAGCAAGAAAAGTGGCATTTTCTGATCTGCAGCTGCAATCGGGTGCCATCTTGGGCTTGAAGAAGTAGGAACAGGATCAGAGGAGCGCACCCACTGGAGAGGTCTGACCATTTGTCAGAAACAAAGGTGTGAACATTTTTTACTGTTCACTGGTCTCTCACTCTCTGTGCAATGCCATTCTGGTGACTAGATAGGGTGCCTGAGCAAGTGGACTCCCCATCCCCACCCCCGGGAGGTTATACTACACATGCGCAGGGATTTGCTCAGCAAAGACCACAGGGTGCAGAATCTAAGAAGTGGGAGAGGTCAACAGCAGGAACTGTTTAAAATGGACCCATCTCCCAGAACGCCTCCGGCCGGCTTTACTGTCATAATCATATTGCACTTTTTTTTTTCCCGATTATAGACTGTACTATCCAATCTGTTTTTTGTTTTTTTTTTGCTGTTGTGGTTTTATTTATTTTTGTTTTACTGGCTCCTCTTTTACCTTGGAGGGGGGTCTTTCTCACCCTATGTTACCCAAGAAGAGATGGCAATTGTGGTCTTATAGCCAAGCTATAATCATACCCTATAAAATCCCACCATCCAGGAAAGAGCCAAGACCAGGTGCTATATGCCCGATAGACAGCCAACAACTGCTATAGTTACTCTGAGTTGAGTAATAAGAAAAGTGAAAAGGGAAGCCCATCTCCAGATGACACTGACCTGGAGGCAATCAGAAAGCTTAATAATATATCAACATATACTTTTCTAATTATTGAAAACACATCTAATTAATGAAGATGCCTAAGAGACAGTCAAAGATTTTGGCACATGTCCAGAACAAGAAAGAGTAACTAAAATAAATGAGCTGGAGGCAGACCTAGATTTCTCACTGGAAGGAAGGCAGGTTTTGGAACTGTCTGAGAAGGACTTCAAGATAATTATATTGAGGTGTATCTAAATGTTCCACAAAGGGGTTGAGAAAAATAAAGAAGAAGTCATTAAAGTTCCACAGGAACAATAAAATAAGATAGAAAAAGCACTTGAAACAATTCAAAACTTGCAGAAAGAGGTCCAAACAATTAATAAAAAAATATCAGAAATGGACACTACACTGAAAGGGCAAAGGAGTAGAATTGAAGAGATGGAAGGCAGAACCATCAAGCTGGAAGATAAATCTCTCAATACGCTAAGACAGAAAAGCAAATAGCGAAAAGGATAAAGAAAACTGAAGAAAGTCTAAGATTCATGTGGAACAACATTAAGAGGAATAACTTGAGAATTACTGGCATTCCAGAACAGGAAGAATTACACAAGACCACAGAGGAGATAGCTGAAGAGCTTCTGGAAGAAAATTTCCCTAACATCCTGAAAAACGAAAAGATAAGCATTCAAGAAGTTTAAAGAACCCGAGGAGGGATAGACCCTAAAAGAAAATCATCAAGACATCATCATCAAGTTCTTCAAAATCAAAGATAAGGAGAGAATCCTGAAAGCAGCTAGGGAAAAGAGAAGTGTTACTTACAAAAGCAAGCAAATCAGATTAAGCTTGGATCTTTCAGCAGAAACCATTCAGGTAAGAAGGCAACAGGGAGACATATATAAAGTTCTGAAGAAAAAAACCTACCAAACAAGAATCATCTACCCAGCAAAACTGTCAGTCAAATACAGCTGTGTAATAAAAACATTCCAGGACAAACACAAGCTAAGGGACTTTGACAAAGCCAACCCAATGATTCAAAATATCCTAAAGGGAGTTCTTTGGACTGAGAACCAACAAGAACAGAAAGCAACCAGATCTTGACATGTATGGAAACACCACCAAGAACTCAATCAACAAATGGAAGAGTCCAGAATAGAGCTACAATAATGAATTAAGAGGATCTAGGAGGTCAGTCTATAATCAAAACAATTACAATGTGAAATAAGGTAAACATATAGGAACAGAGATCCAGGTAATGAGGAGGTCACGTAGTTTGCAGGGTAAAATAGACCGTTTAAAATGGAGGAAAAAGTTAATAGAATATAGGGTAATCTCAAAGAAAATACTTCACAATAAACCAAGAAACTGAAAATCCAAGAAGAACATGGAAACATAAAAAATATGAAGGATATGAAAAGATATCCATACTAAAAGAAAAAAAAATTCTTTGTTGGCTATGAGGGGTGGGATGGAGGGACAGTAGAGAATAGGTTAGGGGATAGATACAGCATAGTTCAGGTGTTGGAGAGGGCAATACACAAGAAGCAGTAAGGGAATGGAAAAATAAAGTAGACAGATCAACACTTAGGTAGATTTGCATGGGTTAAATGGGATAGAGGTAAATGGTTATGTATGCTCAACCTTGGAACAACAGGGCTCTGTGATATAGGAATCAAGGCATAGTCTGAATGGGTATATCAAGAGAAATAATGTTAAGATGCTTGACTGTCTATGAATATTGGTTTCCCTTCCTTACTATTGTAAAATAGACACTTGAGTGGGATAGAAAGGAATATCGGGAAATGTGATTACAGAAAACTTGTAAGTCTGTCTTTAGCCTATCACTGGTTGGAATACCTAAAAGGGGTTCTAGAACTTGCCCAGTGAAACAGGCTTCTTTCGGAGCATTTGTAGTGTAATAGGGCCTTAGGTGGAATGCTGAGCCCCATCCAGGACCGTCTGAGGTGGAACATTCCAACTTGAAAGGTCATAGATACCAACCTGGAGCGGCTAGAGGAACAGAAGACACTTCTTGAAAGAAAGACCAGAGGAAAAAAATCGAAAACAAAAGCAGCAGTCTGACTGGCTACTGTAAGAACAAACAAGTTGTTCACTGGCGAGCGCCATCAAGGCAATCAAGTCCCTTCAAGACAAACCCCCCTCCAAGACTGAAACTCAAAGGGAACACACAAGCAGGCATGTAAGCTTGCTGGCTACTGATGAGTGGCAGAGGGGGAAAAGCAACAATGGAGATATAGGCTAGTTCAACCATGTTCCGTAGACGCCTGTCGACCTGGAGATGAGAGAGAGAAGAGGAAGGGCTAGTTGGTCCTAAGTGTGGTGAGACCTGAGGACTCTTAAGTCCATGGACAAGGACATAGCCACATAGGGCCAGAGCCAAGAGTGAAGCGTCCAGCTGATATGAAGTGAGGGGAGATGCACACGAACACCCAAACTTGTAGATAGTACCCATTTGACCTAGTTTCAATGGCTTGAGATCAGAACTCAAATAGAGGAAGATAAAGAAATTTGATATAGGAAACAACTGCAAATTGCTACAATTTGATGAACTTAACCTATACTTAGTCCTCAAGCTGACATCTCTGTTCTTCAACACTTTAAAAGTTCCTGTGCAGCAGATTTGCCCAGTGCAATACGTTGTCTGATCTCTTGACTGCTGCTTCCACGAGTGTTGATAGTTGATCCAAGAAGAATGAAGTCCTTGACAAGGATGTCATGCTGGGTAAGGTGGAGGATCAGAGAAAAAGAGGAAGATCTCTAACAAGATGGATTGGACAGGTGGCATCATTCATGGACTCAAGTGTGGCAGCGGTGGTGAGGTTGGCCCAGGATCGGACATTGTTTCGTTCTGCTGTACATGGGGTCGCTATGAGTCGGTTCCGACTCGATGGCACCTGACAACAACAACAACCTATACTTATGGATGTAGTAGCTCAAGACACCAACTGAAAGGGAAAGAGTCTTTATATCAAGGATCAATCCTATCCCTTCTGTACACAGGGCTAATAGAGACAAGATTTCAAGATGGAGTTTAAGAGTGCGGGTGAAGGTAGAATCCCCAATGAATAGTTTTAATTTTGTCTAATCTGGTGAACGGAGATGGGTATAAAATTCTTATAATTCAATAGTGAGTAATTGTTACCATGACTAATTGGGATTGCCACAACTGTAAAGGTAGAAGTTTTGTAACATAAAGGGGGGAGTAGTTAATCTTACAGTTCAGGAACAGACGACCCTAGGATCATCAAAGGAGAAGAGCACTAATGGAATGTGGGACCCTATCCAGAAAAGCAGCAACACCAGGAATGGAAGCAGAGATGATGACCTCAAGAGATAGAGCAGCTGAGTACTAAAGACTCATGGAAAGAGAAAGGCTGTGTGCTGGCAGTCAGGCGACCAGGAGGCAGGCTTGCAGAACGTGCCCTCAGATTGTTTAAATGATTTTTTATTCTTGAGTGTTTCTGTGTACATCAAAACCCAAAACAACAGAGGGAATAGAAGCAAATACTGTTGAATAGTGATGCATGGAGGGGACTGTAGTCTTTGCAATGATACAATAGAATGAATATACAATAGGATGAGTGCAAAACTGATGTTCTCCCATGTAAACTATCACTCAGTGCACAATAAAAGTCTTTATAAAGAAAAAAAAAAAGCTGTAACTAGAAATAGAGTCTTTCATATTTAAAAAAAAAAAAAAAGCTCATGCGCAGCCATTTAAGGTGCAGGTATTGTTAGTCTATTAAGAGTGATAAGAATTGAAGATGCTAAGAATCAATTAATCCAATAGACTAACGGCACATGTAAACATCAGTCGTCAAGTTTCTGAGACCAGAAGAACTAGAAGGTGTTCAGCTACCACCTACCAATGACTATGAAGAGGATCACATTAAAAGGTCCCAAATAGAGTGGCAGAAAGTGTGGAATAAAATTCAAAATTCAAAAGCAAAAAACACTGGCTTACTGGTTAGAACAGTGACTGGAGAATCCTGAGACTATAGCCCTTTGACAACCCATTAGGTCTGGAGAGGAACTCATTCTCTGGGCTCAATATCCAGCCAAGTAGTAGGCTAAGTCCTGGTCTGTAGGAGACCTGGTATGGTGCTGCAGGATAATGCACTGGACCAAAAAGTAGGTCTGAATTGCAAGGTTGGCAGTTCAAGCTTACCAGCTACTCCCTGGAAACCCTATACAGAGTCACTGTGTGTCAGGACAGACTCCAAGGCACTTAACAACAACAACAGGTAAGTATATAGGGGCGGCAACAACATTAGTAAGGTATGCTCAACATGCAAAGGTCAATCATACAAGATCAAAAGGACAAAAAGGGATGAGAAGGTGGTGGAATGGAAATAAGAACAACAGGAAGTGTTGCATAGAAGGAATAGCAATCATTGATATGAACCAAAGTGTATGGTTTATTGAATGTAAAACTTAAGATCTTCTCTGTAACAACTGGCTCAATTCACATTAAAAAGTTTACAAAAGAAAAGATTATGAAAATGAAGAAAAAAACCCCTAATGGTTTCTTATTTATAATACCAAAAGCAATCAAATTATAAGTTAAAAGTCAACAAAAGTAAAAACTTAAGGATTTTATTCAAAAAGGGAAGAGACACTCACAGAATCAGAGAAAACATTTGCAAACACTGGTAATGTAGTGGTCACACACTGGGCTGCTAACCACAAGGTCAGCAGTTTGAATCTACCAGTCACTCCATAGGAGAAAAATGAGGTTTTCTACTCTCATAAAGCTTTACTGCCTTGGAAACCCTATACAGAGTCGTTATGAGTCAAAATAGACTTGATAGCATACCATCACCACCACACCAAATAAGGGAACTCTATCCAGAATATGGAGTCCTGATGTGGCTCTGTAAGATAAGCACTGGACCACAAGGTCAATTTGAACTACAAGATCAATGGTTCAAAATCATGAGCTGTTTCTTGGAAACCCTATACAGAGTACCTATGAGTCAGAACCAACTCGATGGCTCTTAACAACAACATACAGAATATGGAAGTCCTGCTGTGCCACTGTAAGACAAGTAATGTAATGTTAACTGTAAGGTTGGTAGTTCAAATCCAGCAGCTGCTCCTTGGAAACCTTATATGGGGGTCTATGTGAGTCAGAACTGACTGGATGGTACTTAACAACAATCCAGAATATGGACCCTGTAGGATAAACACTGGACTGGTAACCACAAGATCAGAAGTCCAAATACACACTTCTTGGAAACCCTGTACAGGGTCACTACGAGTTGCAATCGACTCAACAACACACAACAATAACATCCAGAATATATAAAGAATTCATGCAATGCAACAACAAAAAGATGCGATACAATGAATTACTTCATGGGGTTCGTTCAATACATAGTCCTTGTACCTCCCACCAAGCAAGGCTTTTGCCCTGATAGATCTGAGGAAGAGAAAGACAGAGAAGAGGCTGTTAGAATTATATGATTCAGTTGTGAGTAGTAACAGAGTTAATCATATTATAAAAACTTGGAAGTCTAAACTGGATTTAAATACTCATCTCAGAAGTAGGAGAGGGGACAAGAATCTCACTATCATCAAAGAAGAAAGAGCCAGGAGAGGAGCGCATCCTTTAACCTTTAAACCTCTTCAGTGTAGGGACAGAAAGGTGTGATACTGGAAGAGTGACAGAACAGCAGCAGCAGAACCAAAAGTCAGAGCACAACTCAAAAGTGTGGGTTTCCCAGCCCATAGAACAATTAAAGCTGAGGCTATGGTGGAGTAATGCGTCCTGTGGGAATTTGTCAACGGCCTTGAAAAGTTTTTTAACAATGGTTGGGCAAAGAAATGCTTGCTTGTGGACACCGCTGAGGATAGGTTATCCTTACTGGATTGTGTCCTGATGATTTCTGACCCTGAATTGCAACCCGTTAACTTCCCTAATAAACCCATAACTTTCAGTATGGTGTCTGAGTTTTGTATGGTCATTGCAGTGAATTACTGAACCTAGATGATAAGTAGAGTATGCCATTGAGATATAGTTTGGTGTTTTAATTTTCTTTTGCAAAAGGCAAATAACCTAATTAGAAATAGGCAAAAGATTTGAAAATATTTCTTGAAAGAAGAATACGCAAGTTCATAGAGTAGACAGTATATATCTGTAGTTGTCACCAGGCAAAATTCACTGCCATCAAGTAGACTGACTATATGCAACTCTGTAAGATGGAGTGGTACTCCTTCATAGGATTTCCTAGTCTATAAATCTTTATGGTAGCAAACAGCCTCCTCTATCTTTCTTAAAGTGGTTGGAGGGTTTGAATTACCGACCTTGTGGTTAGCAACCTAATGCCTAACCCACAGCTCCAGCAGGCCTCCTTATTAGCACAGACATAAGGATATGGGGAGTCACTGTTACAATAAGGATATGGGGAGTCACTGTTACTGGGTACAGATTATTTTTTTTTTTTTGGCGGGGTAATGAAAATTTTTAAAAATTGAATAGTGTTGATGGTTGAACAACCCTGAGTATAGTAAAAAACATTTGATTATATGCTTCAAATTTTATGGTATGTGAATTATATTTTAATAAAGCTGATTTTTTTATATACTTGAATATTGTGGTCTTAGACAATTGTGATTCATTCTGTTCAGTCAGATACAACCTGACATTTGTCCACCAATACATCTTAAAAAGGCTTTATACATTTATTAAACATTTGAAAGCAATGACACTCTTACCTCTTCTAAATAAATATTATCAAGATCATATGGTGTTCTGACAGATTCTACCATCCAACTTTCAGGTGTATTCAAATTTAGAGTGAACAGAGGAGACTGTGGCATATCCAAAAATTTTGCTATTGGACCCTTAGCAAAGCTATTGTCTGAAGTGAAAGATATCTCTGGCTCTAGGACATAACGGTAAAAGCTGAAATTAAAAAAAAATAAGGTGTTAATTTTTTTCTATGGTACCATAGTCCTTCAGTTTAAAAGCATTTATATGGTAAAACAACTGGTTTAAACTAGATTTAGAGGGCTTTCCTTTCAGCTTAAGAAAAGTATTTCTATAACCATCCTTGGCCTATCTAATTAAGTTGCTAGCCAATTGTTGCCGATGAAAGAGAGGAAAGGAGGAATATGACTGAGAGAAACGTCACCATTGTCATGATCCTAAGAATTTCCCTTCACAAAGAAAAATTCATTTTATCACTAAAAAAACATTTGTATAGTGGCTGGGTTCTCACACTAACCTTTAAAACACTTAAGCAATATTATGTAAACATATCTCAGATACATGACAACTGACAAATCCTTGGTCACTTCAAAACATGTTTCAATCTAGAAATTTATCTTTGATAAAGTTATAAATTTTATATAAAGTCAACATATATTACATTATTATTAATTGCTTTTTATGTAAAAATGATTGTGCTAAAACTCATGACAGCATACTTCAAATGTACATGCAAATGAGTCTCAGCAAGCTTCTTTTGATATATAAATACGAAGATAGATAAATAAAACATATTATATTAATATATACATAGAAACACACACACATGAGGTTGAGTTAAAAATTATCTGCACTCTGGTTATATTAAAATGCGTGTCCACACCCACAGCTGATGACAACACTGAGTGTGCATGTGAAACGATTCTGTCAAATAGATGAGTGACAATGGATTATGTGGCAAATCAGCCATCGCTCTGCCTATGAAATCATCTATGACAGAGTTGGGTTTTGAAAAGTTTGTGCAAGACGTGTACTGAAAGAACTCACGGAAGAACATAAACAGAAGTGTTTGGACATCTGCAAAGAAAATTTGGACTGACACTCAAAAGGTAAAAGAGTCTTTTAAATGCTCACTGAAGAGATGAAGCCTAAACTTTGGATTCAACACAAAGGGCTTCTATCCAAGGACATTATGATCTTGTCTATCCAAGGACATTATGATCTTGCATGACAATGCACGTCCTCACAGTTGACACTGAGGTGTTCAAGCATCCTCCCTATAGTCCTGATCTTGTTCTATCATATTTTCACCTGTTTGGGTCCCTAAAAGCAACTCTTCAAGACTTACCTCTGATGCAGTGAAGACAGAGGTACATTCCTGGCTTGCAACTCAGCCTAAAACATTTTTTTATTAAGGGAATACAAATGCTTGTTGACAGATTAACAAAGTATATTGAAAAGTAAGGAGATTATGGCAAAAAATGCTGTATTTTTCTTTTTTTTAAAGTTGATTAAAATAAATTCTACAGTCAGAGTGCATATAATTTTGGACTCACCCTCATATACAGACTTCTGGGGTAGCACTGTGGATTAGCACTGGACTGTGAACCATAAGACTATCAGTTCAAACCCACCAGCTGCTCTCCTTGGAAACCCTATGCAGAGTTGCTATGAGTTGGAACCCACTTAACAACATACATATAACTTAAACAACACACACACATATCCCATCTTGAAAAAGAACCATAAGCAGATTTTAAATATATCAAGTTAATAGCTGCATTTATCCAAATGTTTTAGAATTAGAGAGCTACAAAATTCTGATGAAAAAACAAAAAAAAAAAAGCACAGTACAATTAGAGCAAGTTGGTGCCCCCGCAATTTTCTCATGTCCACACTAAGCTATTCACACTTGTGGTTTAAAGCAGGAATTTGGAAACATTAAACATTCAGCAAATGATCTTTCACACATGATGTCTACCTGGAAACCCGTTTTATCCTTTAACATTCAATATAAGACTAAGATTCAGTATTATTTTTGCAGTTGCTGTTTTACCTTTTTAAAGGCATGTCAGAAAGTTTAGATTGGCAGTTCATAAATATTCTTAAATTCATGTTTATCAGTTGAGTCATAACCTAAAAGCAAACCAGATAACAACAACAAAAAAAATTATAGAAAAAGTAAACATTTGCCGTAAGCATAAATGCCATCAAATCTGCACTGGAAAATTTTATTGAAATTTCACCTTTAGTACAGAATCTAAATCACACACACAGATGATTTAGCCAAGAAATTACGAAGTGGGCTACTGCAGATCACTGCTTTTTTACATATAATAAAGCACAGTTATAGAAAAGCAACATAGAAAGTAATGGATATCTTCACAAGGAAAACCTAAAGGACTATTCATGTGGCTTATATAGTAGAGAATAACATACATACACACATCAAAAACAAAGGTTAATTGATTATGCTTCACTAAAACGTTACCTTGTAAAAAATGAAATAATGAAAGCATTAAACTAAAAAAAGACATGTTGAAGCAGCTGTATCTTGGACACAGCTTTTAAAAGTGTAGTTAATTTTTAAAATGTAGTTAAATTTACAGTATCTCATATATAAAAAGAGATTTCAAAAAGTTTGTGGAGACAATTTCATTATCTTTTAATTCCATTTTCCACTAACTTTTTGAAGCTCCCTCATATCTAAAAGCCACGCTACAGTAACAACAAAAATCTATGAGATGTATAAAAAAAGAAAAATTAAAAAGTAGATTTTTTTTTTCTTTTATCTCTTTGTAACTGCAAATTAAAATTATACAAGCCACTTTAATTCAGTGATATTTTGCTCTAACTTTCTTTGTTAATTACACGAGCATGAGGGATGAGAATGAGGGAACCAATCAAACTTGTACCATTCTTTCTAAGATTATGAGGTTGTTTTCAAAGTTATTAGCAGTCTTTATAAAGACATTTGCTATTCTTAAGATATCCTGTAGCAGTTTTCCATTAACTAAGGGAACTAAGGGAGTCCTGGTGTGGTACTGTGGGTTAATGCGCTAGACTGCAAAATCGGTTTGGACCACAAGGTTGGTGGTTCAAGCTCACCAGCCGCTCCTTGGAAACCCTCTAGAGGGTCATTATGGGGAGTAACCGATTTGACGGCAGTTAACAACAGCAACAACAACAAAGGGAACTAAGAGGTCATGACAGCTCTCAAAATTATAGTGCATGTTCAGATAATTCAGATAAATGTGACTAGAGTTTGTCCCTACCAAGAGCAATGGGGCCAGTCTCTGTGCTTCTCTGGTGACAGGGTCAATGATGGCAACAACATCAAAATATGTCTCCCCTTCCTTTGGTCTCAGTTTGATGGCACTATGGAGATAAGAAAGATAACACAGTAATATGTGGAGGAAGTAGGAAAAAAACTTGTTTTCTTTGATCTAACTCAGCTATTAGGATTCTTAACATTTCAAAAGCTTTAGATCTAGCACAATTGACATTAGTGATCAACTATGTAATCATATCAATCCATGAAGTTTACCCAATGTCTACGACCCACTAATATTTGGTGGAAAGATCTGTGTGAAGAGAGGAAAGTAGTTTTAAATTGCATAAAAAGGAAGAAAGAGAGAAATGGCAGTCTAGACAGAAAGGCTGTGTAAGCTCTCCACAGCATGGATACAGAAAATCAGACACAACAGATACAAAGGACAGTCCTGGAATGATAAGCTTAAGAGGAAAGGGCAGAAAAGTGGAGCAAATGCTTAATGGGAAATAGAGTTGAACAGACACGGCAGCAGGCAAGGAGGTGACTGATGAGCATCGACAGTCACTGCAGCCATCTTGACAGTTTGTGAATAGCTTTAGAGATGAGAAAATAAATTCATGTTGCAGAAACCTACCAGAGGCTAGCATACACAAAGGTATGATTTTATTTTATTTTTTCCCTTTATTTTCCAACCAGCACACAACACCATGGAATCTCCCACTTTCAAAGTGGTTGGAGCCACTTGGAGACTGTGAGCCACACTGGGGCAAGCTCTGATCCAAATCTGCAAAGTTGACCTTGGATAGCCATAGATTGACTCTCATTAGGTGTGGGGTTAAACAGACGTGCGGGGTGGATTAAAAAGAGAATGGGGGGCGGGGGAAAAGGAAGGAAAGAAGGCAGGAAATCTACGTGAGACTGTCAAACAAAGCATGGCCATTTTGAACTTTTTCAGGTGGCTGTGAAGGCAAGAAGCCAGTAGGTGACAAAACATACTGCTTAGTGGCAGAGAGAGCCACTGATTTTCATTTTTGCTGTCTGGGCTGTTTGGTTTGTTTGTTTTCATTCTTTTTGTATCACAGGACTGAAGACAGCAACTGTGGCCACACAGCAAAGCCAAAGCTGTACCCTCTACTGCCACCAACTAGGCAGGCATCAATACCAGCTGCTATATACCAAAGCAGTGACTACAACCAACACTGGCTAAATCAACTCTGAATTGAACTGTATGAACAATCAAAAGAGAAGCTCATTTCCTGATCACACCCACCTGGAGAGAATTGGTGAGTGCCTAGGAATTCATCAACATACATTCATCAACTTAATACAAATACAGCATCATGTTGCAGACCGTGTAAAGCTGGTCAGAAGTTCGAGGCCCACTGGGCCCGAGTGCTGCAGACAATGCAGACCACAGGCTCTAAGGAAGAGATTCTGGCCAATGGGCAGTCATAACAAATTGTTTTTAATCTTAGTGTTCAGTTATGTTTTATTAATTCCAAACATGAACCCTTAATATCCACAGATAAATGTAATATTTTCCTAAAGCCGAGACTGTAAAGGTTTCAAAATTAAACCTTTCTCCAAAGGATTAACTAAAAATAGCTTAGCTACTTCCCGGTTCTTTGTTCTATAGACAAAAGGACATCCTCCCTAAACCTGTCCCAGGTGCAGGCCATTCAGCCAAAGTTCCTGAAAACCTGGCTCAGGAAGCCAAAACAGCGGGACTCCTCCCAAGCCTTTTGACCTTCCCTCTCACCTTCCCCCAGCTGAGCTCAGGGGCTATAGATATGTCAATTGAGCCTGAGAAACCAACTTGTGGGCCTGGGATTCGAACCAACGAAGTACGATGTAGAGTTGCCTGAATGTCGGGAGAATTACGTATGCTAGCTGTACCTTGTCTTAGTCCCTCCCAGCTTCGTGTAAAACTCCTCCCCTAAATAAAACAGAGGCGCAGGCCGGCCCAGGTGTGCATTACAGGTTGGAGGGCATGCAGTACAGTTTGCAGGGCAGTGAGTTGCTGCCTGCAGAGGCCACGATGCCTGTAGTCCCAAGTCTGCCCACCAGTGATGCATCCACCCTGGTTTCGGGGTGTCTCTTTGTCTCTCTCTTTTTGTCTTTCTGTGTATTCTTTTGCTATCCCTATCGCCGCCAGATATCCCCTCCTCGTGAACCAAACACTCGTGAATAACACAACTATGTAGAAGCCAGTCCCCGACAGCATCACAATACCTAGAAGGAGTCCTGGTGTGGTGCTGTAGGATAAGGACTGACAACCAGGTCAGTTTAAACTGCAAGGTGGGCAGTGCAAACTCACCAGCAGCTCCTTGAAAACTCTACATGTATCTGGTCAGTAAGAACTGGAACTGACTCAATAGCACTTAAAAATAATGCCTAGAAACCTACAGAGAATTTCTGTTCCTATGAAGAAACAAGACAGAGTAGCTCAAACAACAAAATGGAAGAGCTAGAAAATGCTTTTGAAAAAGAAGAGCACTGGAGCTACCTGAAAAACAATTCAGGAATATGATATAGAGAGATGTACATCCAAACATTTCACAGAAAAGTAAAGAAAAACAAGGCAGAATTAAAAAACCACTACAGGAAAAATCAAACAAAATAGATATAGCATTGGAAACAATAGAAAACCTGCAAACAGAAATCCAGAATATCAATACTAAGATATCAGACACATACAATACTCTAAAAGGTCTAAGAAGTAGAATTGGATCAATGGAAGGCAGAATTAGTTTGTTTTAAGATAAATCTCTCAGTACTAGTAAGATACAGAACAATCAGAAAACATAATTTAAAAATCTAAAGAAAGCTTAAGACTCATGAAAAGGAATACCCTATGGGTGATTGGAATTACAGAAAAGGAAGAAACAAAGAAAACCACAGAGAAGATATTGAAGATCTATTGAAAGACAATTTCCCTAACATATCTGAATGAAGCCCAAAGAAACCCCACAGTGAATGACTGCAATCAATTCATATCTATTGACAAATACATGGAACATTAATAGACTAAATTTACCACTGAAGAGACAGAAAGCATAATGAATAATAGGATCCTTCAACATGCTACCTACAAGTGATACATCTTACACTCAAACACAAACATTAAAAATTAAAGGACACCCTTTGGTTGTTAATGCATGGCTAGGATTGTAATCATGGCAATGAAACAATACACGATAGGATGAATGTAAAACTAGTGTTCTCCCATGTAAACTATCAAATAATTCACAAACTTAAAAAAAAAACCAATTCAGGGATGGAAAAAAATTTATCAAGCTAATGGCAAACAAAAACGAGCCTAAGGGGCAATATTCACCTCTGATATAATAGACTTTAAGGCAAAAACTAGCATAAGAAACAAGGAAGGACATTATCTCATGATTAGACATTATCTCATGATTAAAGGGTCAACAAAATAAGAGGACATAACCATAGTAAATATCTATGCTCCCAATGACAGAGTCTCAAAATACATAAATTAAACTTTCATAAACCATATAAAAATAAGTTCTCATTTTTATATGGTTTATGAGAGTTTATGTATTTTGAGACTCTTAGAAACAAATGAGAATGAAAACACAGCATACCAAACCTTTGGGACACAGCAAAAGCAGTGCTGAGAGGGCAATTTAAAGCAAAAATGCACCCATCAAAATCAACATATTAACACTACATCTCCAACAATTAGAAAAAGACCAGCAAAGTAAGCCTACAGTCACCGGAAGAAAAGAAATAAATATTAGAGCAGAAATAAATGCATTAGAAAAAGAGAAAAGCAATATAAAGAATAAATAAGACAAGAAGCTAGTTCTTTGAAAAGATTAATAAAATTGATAAACCACTAATAAATCTAACAAACAAAAAAGAAAAGATGGAAATAACATGCACAAGAAATTATATGGCTGATGTCATAACAGAACCAATGGGAAAAAAATAGAATAACAAAATACTATGAAAACTTATACTCCAATAAATTTTTAAATCTACAAAAAATGCAAAGATTTTTAGAAAAACATAACCTAGTTAAACTAACACAGAGTAAAGTAGAAAACTTGAACAGATCTAAAACAATAGAAGAAATTGATCAGATCATTAAAAAACTCTCAACAAAAAATAATGCTGGTCCAGATTACTTTACTTATTAATTTTACCAAACATTCAGAGAAGAATGGACAATAATTTTAATTAGATTACTCAAAAACATAAAAAAGGATGAAAAGCCACCACTACATTATATGAAGCACATATAACCCTCATACAAAAACAAAGCAACAACATCACTAATAAAGAAAATTATAGACCAATATCCCTCATGAACATAGATGTAAAAATACTCCACAAAATTCCAGTAATTTAGTTTAACTACAAACAAAAAAATAATACATCATGACCAAGTGGGATTCATACCAGGCATGCAAAGATAGGTCAATATTAGATAGGTCAAAATTAACGTAACCCACCATATAAATTAAAAAGGAAAAGAATCACATGATCATTTATATTGATGCAGAAAAGGTATGTGACAAAATCCAACATCCATTCCTGATAAGAAACACTCAACAAAGTAGGAACTGAAGGGTAATTCCTCAACATAATTAAAAGCATATATACAAAATCAACAGCCAACATCATTCTCAAAAGAGAGAATCTGAAGGTATTCCCTTTGCAATTAGGAACCAGACCAGGGTACCCTTTATCACCACTCCAATTCAACACTTTGTTGGAAGTCTTAGCCAGAGCTATCAAGCAAGAAAGGGACATTGAAGGCATTCAAATTGGCAAAGAAGAAGTAAAACTCTCTCTATTTGCAGATGATGTGATTCTATACATAGAAAATCTCAAAAACTCAGGAAAAAAAAATTACTGGAACTCACTGGAAGAGTGAGCAAAGTGGCAATGTACAAGATCAATAAACAAAAATTAGTTGGATTCTACTGTACTAATAAAGACAGCTCTGAAAAGGAAATTAGGAAAACAATGCCACTTACAACAACCACCCAAGATGAAATATTTAGAAATAAATCTAATCAGACAAACAAAAGATCTATATAAAGAAAACTACAAAACATTACTACAACAAACA